ACACCTTAATGATAGAAAGGAACCTAATAGAACCACTCAGAACACTTCACCCGGAAGCACATAGAATAACATACAGAAAAAGAAATAGAACCCAACACATCTTAAGCTCTGCTATAGACTATTTCCTAGTATCCGACTCCCTCAGAGGAACGGTCCTCAACATAGGAATAGGAAAACTACCCTATCATAGTGGCTTAGATCACAACCCAATATTTATAGACTTTCTCTTCGACCCAGGAATACAAAAAGGACCAGGCTTCTTCAAGATTAATAACTCTATACTAAACAGTACAGAAATGAAAGAAGGAATAGTGCAGGTATGCATAGATTCAGAGAAGGAAGTATTAAATTTTCTATCCTTAGTGAACAGCTTGTCCAAAACCGCATCAGTAGTCTCTAGAAAGCTAGCAGCCAAAAACAATCAAAGTATAAGAGAACTAGAAGCAGCAGTAAGCGTCGCGCAAACAAACATCATGATCAACCCGGGAGTCTATTCTTGTGAGGAACTATTAGCAAGAGCCCAATCAGAAGTGGCTAACTGGAATGCCTGGAGAGCGAGTGGACTAAGACTAAGAGCAAGAATTAAAGAATGGGAGGAAGGCGAAAAAATGACCAAGTTCTTTTTTCAAAAAATCAAATCTAGAGGAAGAAACTCGGCCGTACAACAGTTAAGAGACGAGGAAGGTCCGTCGTCACACCCAGCCAAAATGCTCGCTATAGCAGAATCCTTTTACAAGACACTCTAGACCGAAAGCCCCACTCCTAGGTCAGTTCTACAAGCTAGGGAAAATTTTTGTAAGCACCTGGATAAGACAATTTCCCCCAGCATGACTGAAGAGTTGGACGAACCAATCACCAACGAAGAACTAAAAAATGCATTGGATCCCATGAAACCAGGGAAAACACCAGGAATAGATGGACTTTCCAAAGAGTTTTGGCATGCATACTGGCCCCTTCTAAGGGAAAAATTCAGTAACTTTATCAAGAAGGCATGGGATAAGGAAGGGTTAGGACCCCTTTTAAGTACATGTATAGTCACGCTACTCTACAAGAAAGGATACCCCACCGACATCAAGAGCTACAGACCTATCACCCTTTTAACAGTAGCATACAAAATCTTAGCCAAACTGTTAGCAAATAGAATAAGGAAAATCATCAAAAATTGTTTTCACATAGACCAAATAGGTTTCATCCCGGGTAGATTTATCCTAGACAACATGATGACTCTAGCCGAATCCGTAAGATACATCCAAGATAAAAAAATGAATGCAACTATCCTCTTCTTCGACTTCGAAAAAGCCTACGACCAAGTTAATTGGGACTTCCTTCAACAATGCATGAAAACTATGGGAGTAGGCCCCAACTTTAGGAAATGGGTGCGTGTGCTATATAATGACGCCCTAGGAGCTGTACAAGTAAACGGACATATATCCAACACATACAAGATGTCCCGCTCCGTCAGACAAAGGGACCCTTTGGCTGCACCGATATTCCTCTTCATAATGGAGGTCATAGCATCATTTGTAAGAAAGGACCTCTCCATCCATAGACTCACCGATCAACCGGAGGAAAACACACATAGCTATCACATTCCTCCTACAATCCTATTTGCAGACGATGTGACGGTACTAATAAGAGCCTCCTCCACATCCTTTCAGACCCTAACCAGAGCTATGTGCGCATTTCAACTAGCATCAAAAATGCGTATCAAGTGGAAGAAAACAATAGGGTGGTGGCTAACATCAGATAACCTGGAAGTTCCTTCAGATACCCCAGAGGGAATGACATGGACCGAACCTAATGATCCCATCAGAGTCCTAGGAATACAAATGACAGAGATATGAGCAGCGGCAGAAATGACACCGAGTCTACTGGCAAAAATGATCAGCAAACTGAGTACCTGGGGGAAGTTACATGCCTCCCTGTTTGGTCGAGCCTTAGTGCTGAACTCATCCATATTTTCAATGATGTGGTACATGGCAGCCTTCTGGTCCCCGAACCAGAAGGCATTAAAAGAGATACAAAGGAAAGCCTCGGCCTACCTCTGGACAGGGGACGCCTCCAGAGAACATTTCATTACAAAGGTAGCATGACAATATGTGACTAGGAAAAAAGCCAAGGGGGTTCGGGAGTACCGGATCCAGCCACGCAAATAAAATCGCTACAAACCAAATGGATCCTAAAGCTAATAACTAGTACCAAACTCCTGTGCCAACCGCTGGCCCTAGAGGGCCTACAACAACTGCCGGTCTACAACACACCAGAAAACATGGAGGGTACCTTTTGGAAAATGAGTAAGTCATGGACAATGAAAAAAAAAGCTTCAAGCCAGGATCAATCACGAAGCGAACCAAGACTAAAGTTTTGGAGAGCAATACTCCAGTCATGGAGAGAAATATTCCCTGCCAGGGTTAGACACCCACACACTAAGGAAGAAATACTCAGACAACCCCTTTTCTGCAACCCAGGGATACTAGTCGACAACGAAACGCCATTCACCCTCATGGCAAAGGACTCGAAATGGGGTACTTGGCTAGAAAAAGGAATCTGGCGAATCAAACACATCTGGGATGAAGATAGGAAAGATTGGATAAACCTCCGACGACTCCACAATAAACTCAAGGGTAGCCACAACCTAGCCCAAAATCTCCAACAAATGTTAAAAGCCATACCAACAGAATGGGGCCAAGTCCTCCAAAAAGACAGACAATGATCAATAGGAGATTGGGCAATAATGCCACAAATCATCCCCCGAGAACATGCCCTATCCTTTGCAGGAAGGATTGAAGGAAGAAACAACTGGTACAGCTTCACCATGCACAAGTTGGAGGAACCAGGCATGGAGATCAGCAAAGTCAGCAAGGACTCGACAACACTCATCACGGTCAGAGAGGATCAACTTAGGAAAATCAGAGTAATAGAGAATGAGGATCTCACCCTTTTCCACCCCCAAACTCCACTAGAGGATTTGGAAATAGACCCGACAGAGTGGGCATGGAACCTCAAACGGAGCCCAGTAGGTATCAACCTCAAATTCAACATTTTACAATACACAACTAGATTAGGATACAGACTAAGACGTAGATCGATAGCCCCAGAACCAATCATAGCCGAACGATGGTGGAAACATCTAGAAGTAGACCCCGAAAAACTAACCCAGATCCCGTGGAACCAAATCACAACCCTACATCCTCCCAAGTTCAGGAGCCTACAATGGCTAATATTGTACTTAGCCATCCCCTTGAACCAATGGCTGAATGTCAGAAGGAGGAAGGAGGACAGGAGCCCATTGAAGGAACTGTGTACCAACTGCCAGGAGGGCCAGAGAGAGGACCTCTTTCAAAGTTTCACTGCTTTCTTCTTTGTCCCAAGATAAAACCGATTTGGGACAAAATAGCCAAGATCTGGAACTCGGTGACTTTCACGCCCTTTACAACAAACCACACTCTCCTACTGCCGGGTTTTACAACCTCGGAAGACTGGACCCAGCAACAAAATAACTTCTTCCAAATCCTCAGAAAAGCAACACTTTGGGTCATTTGGAGAAAAAGGTGCCAAGAAACACTAAGTAAGCAACCAATGCACTTAAACGAAGCATGGCTCCTGTTACAACAGCAGGTTGAAACTGAGTATTGGGTCATATGGTGCAAAGCAAGAAGAGGAATAGAAGCAAACGAACCCACCGCAAAGGAACAGAAACAGAAATTCGAAGAAAATTACCTAGCAAAGGGTAAAATAGCCCACGTCAAGGGTCGAAGTCTAATCTTTACACTCTGGGAAGGCGCTCCCCGGGCCTTTCAATCAGACATAGAGTACTTCAACAGCATACCAGCCTCCTTCATTCCCCACATGAACTCCCCCTAGGTTGGAGAAGTCAAAGCATAGACCAACTAAACCACAGCTCCCACACACCCCCGGACCATACTCGGCTAACACGCATTCAGATCAAGGACCCCTATGACAGCCCCCATACAGATAAGTAGTATCAGATCCATTTCATACCCCTACTCACTAACAACTTAGCGCCAAACGTCAAGCTAATCTCCCCGAATAACCAAGCTAGAGGCCAGAGTTCTAGCAGGTAACTAATAAAGGTAAGTACGGGCAATACCAACCACCCCACGGAACCCAACACCCCAAGGAGTAAGGACTATACCAAATAGATCAGGCCAACTCAGTAGAGACGCTTCAAATAGAGAATAGCACGGATCAGACTTAATTTGAGAAGATAGATGGAGAGGCAGAGAAGGATAAAAAGAATAGGGTTTAGGGTTTTAGGAATAGAAGTCTGAACAGACCCACAGAGACCTGGTAGCCACATCTAGCTTGCAAACCAGTCAGTAAACAGGGCAGGCTAGCGACTCCAGAACTTAAATTTGATCAGGCAGCCGAATAGCTGAGAGGAGTAAGCTAGTCGAGCCTCATTTTACGGTCAAGTGCTTCAATCAGAGTTAGCAGAAAACAGCTTATCCCCAATACCCAGAAACTAAGTCATGCAGGCTAACTTAGGCAGGGGTAAGGGGCGGTACATCCTTCCCTAAAGGAAGTAATAAAAGTCATGCAGGCTAACTTAGGCAGGGGTAAGGGGCGGTACATCCTTCCCTAAAGGAAGTAATCAATGCCGTCCACTTGGGCCTCCCAACCATAATGGGGAGGAGCGTGTGTGGTTAACTTTGTAACATCCTTGACTTGCCGGGGGAATAAGAACCAGACTGTTGCTCCCCAGAATGGTAGGAGCCAGAACCGAGAGGTTTTGTTGTTATCAAAAAAAAAAAAAAAAAGCATGGAAAATTGCAGCTGTCCCCCCATATGAGGAGATGGCAGCCTGCACTTTCATCCTTAACAAGTTAACAAAAAAAAACAAAACAAAAAAAAAACCCTTCAACTAAGGGAGAACTCACTCACACTGGGACATTCCTGGATGCATGTTACGTCAATCCTGGCCTGATGCAGTCGCTGGGACCTAGTAGTGTGTCATGTGTGCCCTAGGAGGAGCTCACCTGAAAGTTCATGCCTAGCAGGAGCTGACCCCACATAACTGTCCCATCTCCCGGTGGAGGGAGCCTGTTCTGTGGAATCGTTCTTCCTGAACCGCTGCAGTCGTGGACATCTCTCTCGCCCCCCGCCACGCTCGCCTTATCTGCGTCAAAGGCCCCGACCGTACTTCGCCCATGCAGCACACCTTCCGATGATTCCATCCAAAATGCTTCATCGTGGTCGCCGACATCATTGCTCCTGTTCCCTCCGTAATACACACCTTGTTGCTCATCCACCCGCTGGTCGTCATAATACACTCCATGGCATTGCTTTTCGTTGTCCTTGCATTCATAATGCAGCCGTTGACTGCTTTCAGTCAACAACGGAGATGACACATCAGCAGCAGCAACATGATGCGTGTTTTCAAAAAGAGAAAGCTCCTCAGCATGAAGAAAATAGAGTTCACGAAACATCGCGTTTTGCTGCCTTGTGCTGCTGCAGTTCGCAGACAAAAAGGATAGAACACTACTTCAGACCCACGAAAAACCGCTCAAATTCATTTTGCAGTAACTTAGCATGAACCTGGCCAATTTTCCTGGCAGATTCATTGTACCAGTCACCCTTTCGGGTTCCTCTCTCTGCTCATGCAAAAATGAAAGTATAACCACACTTTTTTTCCTCCTTTTCCTTTTAAAAATATCAACAAAAAAAAACAAAAACACAGGTCCTTACGGGCCCAGCTCTTCTACTTTTCCCTTTTTTCTTGTTAACTTGGAGTTTGAACTCTTGGCCTGTTCATCACCAACTGTAACATGCTGGGCTGTTCATCTGTCTGGCAGGCATGTACAAGGGATACCCACATAGCGTCTCCGGACGAACCAAATTTTTGTTGAAGCCTTGAAGGGGCAAAGCCCATAGCAGTAAGAAATTGAACAGGTTTTGAACTCTTAATGTGTGGGTCGCCACAATCTTGTTAATCTCAAGTTCCCATGACACATCTAGAAAAAGGGGCCGGGGGGTAATTATCTGTTAAAATTGGAATGATACAGAGAAGATCAGGATGTCCCCTGCGACCAAAGACGAAATTGCAATGAAACCGTCGGGCTTAGGAGGTGAAGTCTGCGATCTCAGACTGAGAATTGCCGGGATCGGAGTTCTCAGACTGAGAAAACCATGTGACCCATGAATAGATTGGAGCGTTTAAAAAAGAGAAAGAAAAAAGAAGGAAAAAAAAGACTGAGAAAACCATGTTTTGAATTGTCTTCTGCATATTGTGCAGCAGGCATGTCTTCCTTTGGAGGTCCTTAAAGCTTTGAGGGTCTGTGAGAATGCTTGTCCTCTGACCGGAATGTCCGTGTATCGGTCTGAGTCTTGGATAGAAACTGCAAATTTTTTTATTTTTATTATTATTATTATTTTTTTCTTTTAAAACAGGGCCTTATGGACCTGGCTCCTTCTATTCTGGGGAGCGTCAGTCCGGTTCCTATTCCACCGGCAAGTCAAAATAAATTACAACAATTAACAATCACACACGCTTCCTTCCGTCAGGCCGAAGGACCCCTGAGCAGCATTGATTGCTCCACCACGGGAGGATTGACTGTCAGCTTGCCTTGTCCCACTCTTTCCTCTCAGATCCAGAATCCAGATCTGTCAGATAAAGCAATATACCCTAGAAAGATCACACCTGTTGGCCTTACCCAACCTGGTCCTTCCCATAAGCCACTTCGCCCCCCTTTGGATGGCCGACAGTTAACACTGAGACCTACAYCCTCAGTCTGCAATCTTATCGTCAGAACGTTAAAATTGGGTCTTGGCAGGTGCTAGTAGGCTTCCGAATCTCTGGGATGGGATCCTCCTTGGCGACCCCCGTACATGCTCCAGAGTTTTCAGACTTGTCCTCGTTTTCCACGTCGTCTGTATCCCCTGGGTTATGTTTAAGCTCTTGCAGCCTAGGAAGTGCTTACGCCTTCCAGCGACGTCTGATGTTGGGAACCCCTTCCTGGATTTGAATTATGCCATTCTTTCCAGCATACCAGGTCCTGTCGCAGTTCTCCAATCTTGCCATCAACCAGCCAGCTCCTGTAGAATCTCTGCCTCTCCTTGTTCCGCTGTTCTTCGTCTTCAGACCAGGCTCGCTTGATCTTCCGCCATCTGCACAGGATCTCGGCTTGAATCATTGTTTTAGTTTCTATCCACACTTTCTCCCGTGGGAGAAACTGCAAATTCTACAAAGCAAAAAGTGGGAACTTTGGGGGTAAGCCTGCAATTGCAACATCGGACGGAAGAGACTCAAGACAGTGTATTTTTGAAGTATAAATTTACGGGTACATGCCTGAAACTTGGTAGGGACTCAGTATCTATTTTCCAGCAAATCCATGGTAGGACAGCTGGGCAGTATCATGCGTAGCTTAGAGGAGGAGATACCGGATGCACCTGGACTGGAATGTTGGCAGATTCATTGGTCCAGGCCCTCCTGAGTTACTTGGACTGAAGTGGCCGTCCCTAGGCCTTGGAAAATATGAGATGCTGGTGCACCTGGACCACATTTGAGCCTGATCCCTCCGTTCCAGGCCTTGCAGTGCAGGCGGAACTGAGAGGTCATCATTCTCCCACTCAAATCGCGCAGCGGTAAGCCCCAGGTGGCTGCTCAAGCCTACTGGAGGTCGGGTACCAAACAAGTAAGCAAATGGGACAAAAGTGCGGCTGTAGCTGCTCAAGGCATTAGCTCACTCACACTCATTACGGCCAGCCTGTTGGGGGAGAGAGCAGCCTGGTGATGAGTAGAGATGAAGCGGAGGAGGTGCTGGGAGGACCCCAGCTATGGCAGATAGGCTCCTCGCTATGGAGGCCTGGTGGGATATGCTGCTGCATGTCTCAAAACTTCAAGAGTGAGGCCAGGTTTTAGGTCCCCTGCATCACAAGAGGGCATTGCCTTGGTGCTTCGAGAACAGCAAGCAACAAGAGAGGTTCTTGCAAGGAAAAGAGACTCTTACATCTATGAAGATGGCTTCGTTCTCGGTTCAAACGTTAACATGACTTGAGGATGCTTGATCTCCAAGGGAGAGGAGGAAGGAGAGAGAAGTGGGGTTCTTGAATGAAGAGCGATTGCTCTTCTGTACATTCCTTGGCGGATGCTGGAAGAGACATTCAGCTTTCTTGTTTCAACTTTTGTGAAGACTTTCATTTATTCATTGAGATACTTTTGATAGTAAAGATGAGGAGGTTGTAAGGAAGAGGATGGAGAGAGAAGGTGGAGATTATTTTTGTTCTTTTGAGTTCGGTTCCCCTTTCCTTTTCTTCTTCTTCTTCTTCTCCTCTCTTTTTTTTCCTTTAAAAAAGGAAAGACTGGGGTCCTATTCTGGGGAGCTGCAGTCCGGTTCCCATTCCACGGGCAAGTCAAGAACATGAATACAACCCTACAACATGCTTCCCCATGTTATGGCCCCGGGAACCCTGACAGCATCGATTGCATCCTTTAAGGAAGAATTAACTGTCAGTTAAGCCCATGCTTTGATTCAAAACCCCACCCCCTGGCAATGTACCTAACCCCGAAAGAAACATTCTTAAAATGCAGTTCCTGAGTCACCAATGCTCTTCTGCTCAGGACTGCTTCTGCTTAAACCCTAAACCTTAGCAGCTCATTTGCCTGAGGGTGCTTTTCTGTCCTCTGAGCATGAGGCAGTGAGTGCTCCCCCTTGGGGAGAATTTACCTCAGCTCTCCCCTATATAACCTGACCAACTCCCTTTATTAGCCCTGTTCTTAACCTGCTACTAGCCCATTTGCTACCAACGAAACATGCCCAAAGAATGCCATCTGTGGCTTCTTTCCAGAAGGATTGACCACCAGACTGCCTGTCCATGCTCTGACCCAGCTCCTGCTTCTCCTCTGCCCCTCTAGCCCACTTTCTGGGTGATGCCGCTTGCCCTCACCCGATCTGTGAGATGGGAGGGAGCACATCTGTGAGGCAGGGATTCATAATATCATATCCTCTAGCGTTTGTCGTGCTACACAGCATGGGCCACCCGGGAAACCCCAGCTGGGGGTCAACTACCACAGGTGTGTGAAGGTCCCTGTTTCCATTTATCTACATGCCTCTGCTACTCAGCCCGCCCTCAGGTCTATGTCTTCATCTGCAGTCCGGGTCGTTACGTTGTGGTGCAGAACGTGTACCCACCGTCGTATTTAGGGACACTTGTCTAGGAAGTCCAGTCTACATGATTGTATACCTTTTCAAAGTCGACGGAAATAAAGGCCGCGTTTTGCTTCGGCCTTGCGCGCGAGCTTGATCATTTCATTGACTAAAGAGTACATTGTCCTGGATGTTCCTACCCTGTGTGAAGCCAGTCTGAACTGGGTGGATGATGTCATCCATCACTTCAATCATGCAATTGGCCAGTGCTTTGGAGCAGTCTGTATACGACTGTCAGTAGCGTAATGGGTCAATAATTCCAGATGTTCATCTTCTCCCTGTGGAGGGCTGGCCACATAGCTTCCCAAAACTCCTGAGGGAAGCCATCTCCCCTTGGGGTCTTTTCTTCTTCCATTTGAAGAAGGGTCGTCCAAATTTCTTCCCACATCAGAGGCCGGTCAATCTTATCCCTTTGGTGCAAGGAGAGGTGTTTCTGTAGGGGGCTAAGGAATTCCATTATTCCATTGTAACATCCTGTCTCCGGGGATTCCAGGATTTGTGAGGAGAAGATGGACTGAAAAAAGGTGCAAGCGATTTTGGTACAATGTGTCGTGGTAATAGCCACCACGTCACCATCACGTGGGTCTTGAAGGGCCCTTGTAGCGGTGCACCGTTATCTAGCAGATGCCATGCCAAAAAAGTGCGTCAATGGTACCTTCGGTGTTCCTTTTAGACAGTTTACCCCTGATCCTGGTGCCTTGCCATCGGTATTGTGCATGATGGAGGAGTTGGTCTCGAAGGTGTCGGATGGTGTCAATATGATTATCCGAGTTGTCCAGCTGTTCCAGGTTATGGAGTTGCTCATGTAGTTCCATCTCTTGTTGATAGTGTCTGCTTGCTAGAAGTTTGGAGAACTCCTTGCACTTGTGTACAAGCAAAAAAAGTGTGTTGTCAAACCACTAAATCTCTTACTCTAATTCGTGTTTGAGGTTCTGCCAGTAGGCCCATACATCTTGGATGAAAGTTTGGAATTGTGAGCCTTTGAACAGAGATATATTAAGTTTATAATAAATGGGCCCTTGGTCCAGCCTTTACGGAAGGTGAGGAGGGCCCCACATGCTTTATGGTCTATACCCAGATGCAGGCTTTGTGGAAGAATCACTGCCAACCGTAGGGCGACCTGTAGGTCCCGGGACATAAGAATGAGATCGATCCTTGATTTGGACTGTCGAGTAGGATCAGAGGTGCGGACGCATGTGAAAGTCCGCTCTGTGGGATGAATGCACCTGTACATGTCGAACAGACTCAAGGAGCTGCATAGGTCACCTAAGGTGTGTTCATCCTCTTTCACGTAGTGGGGGTAAGAGGAGCGAGGATTCCATCGATCCAGCTAATGATCTGCTGCGATATTGAAGTCCCCCGCTATGATCAATGGTATCCCGTCCTGCATCTGGTTTCAGAGTTTGTTAAAAAATTCCTTTCTTTCCACGGTCGAGTTCGAAGAGTAGATACAGATGATGGCGACCATCTATAGTTCCAACATGCCCAGGGCTGACACCCATCTGCAATGACTTGCTGATTCTGCAGCCTGCAAACCGCCGACCCGAGGCTGTAACCTAGATAGGGTAGATTCGCTGTTTTGTTTGGCTGAGGGCTAACCGAGAGATCTGCCTGTGCGGAAATTCGTGAGGGACATATCTGTAAATTTGGGGAAAATTGCAGGCCCGTACTAACCTGAATTTCCTACAGCTACCCTAACTGCGAATAGCAGACCCGGGCTACCGCTAGGACAGAAGGGCCTATGGGCCTACATTGGTAGACGGTCCTACAGCCTATAGCCGGGTAGGGAGAGGCTTTGGAGGCCGAACTGAATCGGTACCGGTGAGTCCAGTCAGTCCGGTCTTGGTCGTGTCTAGGCTAGGGTAGATTATGAATAAATGTAGAGAAAACTGTTCGAGGCTTTTGGCAGTTGGTACCATGTACATCGCTGTTGTGGAACGCATGAACTGGTGGTGGTACAGCTTCAGCATTGGAGGAGACAAACATAGTCCGACCTTCGAAGCGTTGACCATAGCTGGGACCTGCGTTGTTCTCTGATAGCACGCGGGGTTGTTTAGAGGTCCGGGCTATCTGAAGTCTGCTCGAGGTGAGCGAAGTTGGTGCACTGCTGAAACCTCCTCAGGAGTAGGGTGCCAGGGTGTGTGGCGCTACAGCCATAGCTGCAGCTTTCATCCTCAGAGATCATCTTTGTCAAGAGAGGTGGCACTGCTGCAGATATCCATCTGGGAGGTCTACTGGCACTTCATCATCATCAGAGACTGTGGCGCTGTTCTTCTTCTTCATCCTTTGAGAGGCGCTTGGCCTCAGAGACCTGTTTCAAGGTGGCGCTTCCCTCTGGAGGCAGTATCTGGGTGGTGCTGGTTGTTTCAGGGGCTCAGAGATAGTGATAGCGGTTACTCAGGGTTAGGGGAAGGAGTGCTGCTCATTGCTGAGCAGAGCATCACAATTCAGGGGTTATTATGACAAATCGAGTTTAATAAACAGTGTCGATACTGTGTGGGAACTATCTTTACTTCATTGTTTCCTTGATGTGATCTACTCGGCTTTCCTTTGTGACTGGTTGTGAGGAT